AACGGAGATGAGCACCGCAATCCTAGAGTCAGATTCGGCTGGCTTTCGAGCAAGGAAACCTTTACCTTTACTTTAAGGAGCTATTGGACTGTTGCTCTTTTCTGCTGTTACAGACAGACTAACACGGCCACCCATCAGGATCTAACTTCGTGAGAGAGCTTTGACTCTTGAAAGCTTCTACCCTGAAAATCTTGTTGGTCTCTAAGGTGCGACTGGACTCAAGTCTGTTCGACTGGAGACCAACATGGCCCCCTCTGAAACTTTAACTCTTACATTGATTTTGCTGGCAGCAGCCCGTCTGGCCATAGCTACCACTTGGAAGTCTGTCTGTCCCCCGACGCTGACCATCTGGAGAAACAAAGTCTGGGACCAGTTTATTATGTGTAAAATCTCTGATTCACTTCATCCCATCTCTAGTTCCAGCTCCTGCCAACCTAGCAGTTCGAAAGCAAGAAATTGCAAGTAGATAAATAGGGACCACTTTGGTGGGAAGGTAACAGCATTCCGTGCGCCTTGGTGTTTAGTCATGCCGGCCACATGACCACGGAAACGTCTTCAGACAGCGCTGGCTCTTTGGCTTTGAAACGGAGATGAGCACCGCAATCCTAGAGTCGGATTCGGCTGGCTTTCGAGCAAGGGAACCTTTACCTTTAGTTTAAGGAGCTATTGGACTCTTGCTCTTTTCTGCTGTTACAGACAGACTAACACGGCCACCCATCTGGATCTAACTTCGTGATAGAGCTTTGACTCTTGAAAGCTTCTACCCTCAATCTTGTTGGTCTCTAAGGTGCGACTGGACTCAAGTCTAACTGTTCGACTGGAGACCGACACGGCCCCCTCTGAAACTTTAACTCTTAATGTTGTTCAGTTTGGTGTAGTGGTTAAGAGCGGCAGACCCTAATCTGGAGAACCGGGCTTGATCCCCCACTCCTCTACATGCAGCCAGCTGGGTGACCTTGGGTCAGTCACAAGTTCTCTCTATTCTCTCAAGAGCAGTTCTCGGTCAGGGCTCTCTCAGCCCCACCTAACTCACAGGGTGTCTGTTATGGGAAGAGAAAAAGGGAAGGAGACTGTAAGCCGCTCTGAGACACCGAGTGAAGGGCAAAGTACAAATCCACTCTCTTCTTCTTCTTCATGAATTCATGGTATTTTAATTGTGTATTGTATTGCGAACCACTTCAAGAAGGACTCTGGACAGGTGGTGTATACATTCTCTAAATAACAACACCAACAAAGGGTCATTAAAACTCAGAATTCTCTGCCAGAGGATGTAGTGATGGCCACAGGTACAGCTTTAAAAGGGGACTAAGTAGATTAATGGAGGACAGGTCTATCAGTGGCTACCAGCTGTGGTGATTAAAGGGAACCTTCATATTCAGAGGGGCTGCGGTGGCTCAAGTGGTTAAGATGCTGAACTGCAGACCGGAAGGTCGGTAGTTCAGCAGTTCGAGACCTGAGTGCCGCATGACGGAGTGAGCTCCCGTATCTGGCCCCAGCTCCTGCCAATCTAGCAGTTTGAAAGCAAGAAATTGCAAGTAGATAAATAGGTACCGCTTTGGTGGGAAGGTAACAGCGTTCCGTGCACCTTGGTGTCTAGTCATGCCGGCCACATGACCATGGAAATGTCTTTGGACAGCGCTGGCTCGTCAGCTTGGAAACGGAGATGAGCACCGTATCCCTAGAGTTGGATTCGACTGGCTCTCGAGCAAGGGAAACCTTTACCTTTACTCATATTCAGAGGCAGTAAACGTCTGAATACCAGTACGCCACATCGGGGAAGGCTTTGGCCTCTATGCTCTGTTACTGGCCCTCCAGAGTAACTGGTTGGCCACTCTGTGAGACAGGACACTGGACTAGTGGAACACTGGTCTGACCCAGCAGGGCTTTTACATCTTTTACATTCTTACCTTGCTGGATCCTGCTGTCCAGCATACCATGTTTATTCCTCTCCTCTCCCTATAGCAGTTTGCGGGGAAGTCTGACCCCTTTCCTGTTGAGAACACAGTACAGAGAGACAAGAAGTTTCCCCAAAAATTGGATCCGAAATCATTTGCATCCTATGTGAGAACTATTCTCCTAGAGAAACACATCTCCACTTAACCAACCTCAAAAGAAAAGAGGCATTTAAGAAAGGGGGGTGGGGGTGGAATCAGAATTACAATCATTTATTTCTCCGTATGTCAACATACCCTTCTCAACGTACAACTCTGAAAGCATTCCCATCGATAACTATCGTGCTATATGACAATCTTGAAATACTGAATGAATAGAACTAGTCTTATAACAAATTTATATACTTAAGAACACAAAAAAAATCTTTAAGCTATTTTTTTCCTTAAACAAGTCACTGTTCTTGTAGTGGTGTCAAAAGGTGGAACCCACATCAAACAAACCCATCTCAGCAAGCACCACTGGATTCCCGGGTGTCCAATATCCTCTTTGGATTTGCCTCCCTAACAACATCGGGGGAAATCTTTTGGGCATGGATTTTCCAGTGAGGAAGAAACCTGGACCTGATTTCTTTTGAAGTCCCATCGCTCTCACCTGCTTCTCTCCTTTTGCATTATGCCAAAATAGTAATTGTACTCCATTAGAAATGTATTCCTGCAAACGCTCATTTCTGATGAAGAGAGCTTTAACTCTCGGAAGCTTACACCCCGAAAATCTTGTTGGCTTCTAAGGGGCTACTGGACTCAAATCTAGCTGTCTCGCAAACACTCTTAACTGAAGCGACAAGACAGCTTATAGCTAATTTCCCCTAAGGGTCATTAAAATGATACATGTGATTAAAACCATCATTTAAGAAACCCTCAGTTTACATTGGCTAATAAAATCCAGTAGTAAAAAAAAGAAAAAAGGAGTCACCCTCTCAGAAAAACAACAAACAAAAGCAATATAAGTCAAACAATAGGTCAGTCAAAGGCCTGGGGGGGAAATCTTTTTCACATGACAGATGATGAAGAAGAAGAGATTGGATTCATACCCCACCCTTCACTACCCACAGGAGTCTGAGAGCAGCTTACAATCCCTTTCCCCTCCCGTCCCCACAATAGGCAGGTGGGGCTGAGAGAGCTCTCTCGAGAACTGGCCTTGGGAGAACAGCTCTGAAAGAACTTGTGACTGACCCAAGGTCACACCAGCAGCTGCATGTGGAGGAATGGGGAATCAAACCCGGTTCTCCCAGATTAGAGTCCGCGCTCCTAACCACTACACCAAACTGTCAGAACCCACAGCCAACAACGAAGTACACGCATTCAGGAACAGTAATACTTTTATTGCAGAGCTATAGATGCAGTAACATAAGCACTGTTAAGAATGGTGGCGGCCCTATGATAAAACTAAAGTGTCAGGTGAGCAAGTGTGGAGAGTTGTGTCAATGGGATGCTCCACAGAGATGACTGTCTCCCGATGAATGGCCCAAGGTCACCCAGTGGGCATCCATGGCAGAGTGGGGATTCGAACCTGGGTCTCCTAGATCCTAGTCTGACGACTAGGCCATGCTCATTCTCTAATAGCTAGAGCAACGCCAAAAGGAATGGTACTTTCAACAGCAAAATTCTAATCCCATATCCATCACTCTGATTGCCATACCACACTCATTCTCCTAATTTTGGGGCTCACAGACAAGGACCCCAAAGATTATCTCAAATGGTGGTCAAAGAAGGACTTAGTCAGCAGTGAAATACACTTTGAATTGTGCTTGGAAACAAAGAGGCAACCAATGCAGGACTTTCAAGAGTGACAAAACGTGGTGTTGATGCTGGTCAATTGTTCAGGTGCTGTTCTTAGCACCAGCTGAAACCTCCCGTCTTCAAAGGCAGCCCCCAAAACAGCAACATTACAGTAGTCTATTGGACATATTCATCAAAGCATGGAAAACTGTGGTCAGATCATGCATGTCAAGGAAAAGTCACAGTAAGCTCAAAAACTGGCAAAAGGCATTGCTTAGCAAAGGAGCAGACCTGTGCTATCAGCTGTATTCACGGTTTCAACAATACCCTCAAAGGAGATAACCTGCTTCTTAGGTGGAGTGCAGCCCTGTCCAGAAAAGCCAACTCTTTAAACTCTGATTTGCACTATTATCAAACAGCAGCAACCTCCTTCCTATTTAGATTGAGCTTCAACTCGCTGACCCTCAAACCCTCAAGCCATGGCCATCTCTGGGTTTTGGTTCAAAATGTCCATGGACAATCTGAGCCAGTTTGGTGTAGTGGTTAGAAGTGCAGACTCTAATCTCGGAGCACTGGGTTTGATTCCCCACTCCTCCACATGCAGCTGCTGGTGTGACCTTGGGCCAGTCACAAGTTCTTTCAGAGCAATTCTGTCAAGAACAGTCTTCGAAACAGCTCTCTCAGCCCCACCTACCTCACAGGGTGTCTGTTGTGGGGACAGGAATGGAAAGGAAATTGTAAGCTGCTCTGAGACTCCTTCAGGTATAGATCCAATCTCTTCTTCTTCTTCTTCTCAGCCAAAAAGAACTCTGGACAAGCTCTTTCAGCAATTTTATGACTATGGCACCTGGTAGGTTCCCACAGTACAGAAGCTAGGGATCTGAGCAAGTGGTCCCCACAACCCTCTTCTAGTATCAGCTGACAAGGATGGAATCATTATCAAACACAACAATGACAGAAGTGACGAGCAGCAGGATGAAGGAAGAAATGGGATGACAGACACTATGACAGCAACCTCTCCTACTACAAATGCACCGTTAAGCAGGAAATACTAACATCTGGGGATCTACCTAGCAACCTTCTTTAGACAGTACTGCTGCGGCATTCCCATTGCTCAATTTCTCAGAGTTCTGGCCCGGTTCTCCTCCAGCATGAATTCTCATGTGTGTATTGCGGTTTGACCTCTGACTGAAGCTTTTCCCACACTCTGAGCACTTAAATGGTTTTTCTCCAGTGTGTATCCTCTTATGTTCAACAAGTATTGACTTATTACTAAACCTCTTCCCGCAATCGGGGCACTTGTGTGGTTTCTCTCCTGTGTGGGTTTCCGTGTGCCTAATGAAGTCGTATGACCTACTGTAGCTTTTGCCACAATCCTGGCAAGCGTAAGGCCTGTCTCCGGCATGATTTCTCACGTGCATCTTGAGGCTGCTTTCCCAACGGAAGCTTTTCCCGCACTCTAAGCACTTGAATGGTTTCTCCCCTGTATGGATTCTTCTGTGGACAAAAAGCTGGGAGCTCTGACAGAAGCTCTTCCCACACTCTGAGCACTGGTAGGGTTTCTCACCCGTGTGTGTCCTCTCGTGTAAGAGAAGATCGAATTTTCTACTGAAGCTGTGCCCACAGCGCAAACAGGAATGTGGTTTCTCTCCAGTGTGAATCCTGTTATGGATGGTCAGGTGTGATTTCTGACTAAAACTTTTCCCACATTCAGAGCACTCATACGGTTTCTCTCCCGTGTGACTTCTCTGGTGGGCAGAAAGGGTAGATCGGCTTGCAAAGCCTTTGCCACACTCTACGCAGGGATACAGTTTCTCTGCCACGTGAGTCCGCTGATGTTTTACGAGATAGATTTTGTGGGCAAAGTTCCTTCCACAGTCTGAGCACGTGTATGGCTTCTCTCCCACGTGGGTTCGTTCGTGGACTGAAAGGATGGTACCGCAGCTGAAGGTTTTCCCACAGTCTAAGCATTTGTACGGCTTTCCTTCCGTGTGGGATTTTTCATGTCGAACAAGAAGTGCTTTATATCCAAAGCATTTCCCACAGACTGGGCACTGATGTGGCTTCTCTCCTGTATGCGTGGTCTTGTGGTTTGTCAGAGCTGAATTCCGACTAAAAGTTCTCCCACATTCTGAGCATACGAACTCTTTCTTTCTTCTCTGAGATGTCTGGCTCCCAGCAGAGTCGGCAGAGTCTTTCCCACGGAACGCTGTTTCAGGGGAACTTGGGTTGACCAAAAGAGAACCTTTTTTCACTAGACTGAGTTGTCCATAGCTTTCTAGTCCCCGCTGATTTTCACGGGCTTCTTGTATCTCAGGCATATCTTTGACTTCACTCACTGATGTCCCGTTGAGGTTGCTCTTTTCTGGCTCTTCTGACAGGAGATTCATCTCCTCGCCATCGCTCACTTGTACATCATCTATGGGGATAAAAAAGGGCAAAATTTAAGCGCATTAAGTTGCGTACCTCCATTTTTATTTCTTGTACTGCAAATGAAAATCAGTGTTGAGAAGTTGAAATTCATACACCTTGGACAGATTGGGTATCTGACAAAGGAAGCTTTGACTCTTGAAAGCTTATTCTTGTTGGCCTTTAAGGTGCTACTGGACTCAAAACACTGGACAATAATAATTCCCCCAGTGCAACTTAGAACCAAACGAGACAAAATGCTGGAAGTTCCAAGGACCCCTCCCCCCCCTTTTTTAAAGCAGGTGCTCAAGGTAAGGTAAAGGTAAAGGTTCCCTCTACTCTAGTGTTGCGGTGCTCATCTCCGTTTCAAAGCCGAAGAGCCAGCGCTGTCCGAAGACGTTTCCGTCGTCATGTGGCCGGCATGACTACACACCGAGGCGCACGGAACGCTGTTACCTTCCCACCGAAGTGGTCCCTATTTATCTACTTGCAATTTCTTGCTTTCGAACTGCTAGGTTGGCAGGAGCTGGAACTAGAGACAGGAGCTCACCCTGTCTTGCGGCACCCGGGTCTTGAACCACTGTCCCCAGAGCAACTTAGAACCAAACCAGACAAAATGCTGGAAGTTTCAAGGACACCCCCCCCCCTTTTTAAATCAGATGCTCAGGGCCTCCATTGAAATAATGCCTTCCCCTGCATGATTTTTTTCCTGAACTGAAATGGCCCTGCTGGCATAAAATACTACATGCTTGCACCAGTTGGACCAAACAGCAACTTTACATAGCCATTTCAACTCCCCCACCACAACTATAGTCTCAATTCACATTGGGATCCTCTTCAAAACAGGACTCGAGTGAACTAAATAAAGCCCCCTCTTTCAGCCACATCCCCCAAACTGGCAGTATGACGGTCTGACGAACGGAAGATTCTGCCCTCTTTTGTCCCCCGTCAGCATGGACCAATCAGATTCAAGTAGGCTGAACGGAATGCTGAAGTGAAAAAAAACCTAACCAACCTGAGGGGATAGATTCAGGTAGGTGGCCAGGTCGGCCTGAAGCAACAGAACAAAGTTTGAGTCCAGTGGCACCTTGAAGACCAACAAAGTTTAATTCTAGGGATAAGATTTCATGTTCATGCAAGTTTAATTGCATGGTATAAGCTTTCATGTGCATGCACATGAAAACTCATATCCAGAATTAAACTTTGTTGGCCTTAAAGGTGCCACCCGACTCAAACTTTGTTTTAAACCTGACGGTAGTTTAACTTTCAACCACCAATAGACAAGCAGGAGTTGAGGTTTTGGACAGAGCAGAAATAGGAGGTATCCTGGACTGGGCAGGGAGTCCACTAGGGACTGTAGTGTATGATTTTACACAGGCAGGGTGTGGGTGCTGTTCTTCAATACAAAACGATGAACAGTAAAAGTTTAGATTCAGGTGGGTAACCATGTTGGTCTGAAGCAGCAGAACAAAGTTTGAATCCAGTGGCACCTTTAAGACCAACAAAGTTTAATTCTGGGTATAAGCTTTCATTTTATTCTCTTTAAAACCAACAAAGTTTAATTCTGGGTATAAGCTTTCATTTTATTCTGGGTATAAGTTTCGAGCACACACGTACACAAAAAGCTTATGACCAGAATAAAACTTTATTGGTCTTAAAGAGAGCCAGTTTGGCGTTGTGGTTAAGAGCGTATACTCTAATCTGGGAGAACCGGGTTTGATTTCCCGCTCCTCCACATGCAACTGCTGGTGTGACCTTGGGCCAGTTACAAGTTATCTCAGAGCTGTACCCTCAACGGCAGTTCTCAAGAGAGCTCTCTCAGCCCCACCTACCTCACAGGGTGTCTGTTGTGGGGAGAGGAAGGGAAAGGAGATTGTAAACCATTCTGAGACTCCTTCGGGTAGTGAAGGGCGGGGTATAAATCCATTCTCTTCTTTTTCTTCGTAAAGGTGCCACTGGACTCAAACTTTGTTCTGTAAAACTTTAGTTATTGTCTTTAAGTCTGACCAACATATAACTATTAAGTATAATGCACCACCCAGCTCTGGTAACTGTTTCCACTGTCAGGCTAGAATGAGAGGGCATTACAGGTCACACTTACAAACTAAATAAACTTATGTGTTTCATTATATGTTTGCCTCCCGTGTTATCCTCCATGAATATCATCCACTACATACTCAGTACGACCCAAAGAAAAGAGGATCTCTATTTGCAGCTGATGTGCCCTGTGGTACAGGATTAAGGAATCCTATGTGCACATAAAATAAGACAAAGAAACCCACTTCACCTCACCTGATGAAAGGTAATAGTGGTCCTGGTAAAATAACATAACAGGAGAATGAACAAAGTTTGAGTCCAGGGGCACCTTTAAGACCAACAAAGTTTTATTCAAGGTACAAGCTTTCATGTGCATGCACACTTCTTTAAGTATGGCTACCCACCTGAATCTATAACAGGCGAATGTGAGCGATGAGGTAAGTCGCAGCTCTCCAGCCTGAGGGACCTGATATTAAATAAGATAACAAGAGAAACACCTGAATCAGGGTTTGTGACGGATGGTGATAACACTAACCATCCTTACAACTCTATTGTAAAGATCCAAGGCAACGTGAGACATTTAGTATATTCCAAAGCACTCTCCCACATAAAGCGTAATCATGGAATTCACTACCACAAGCTCACTGAGAGGGTAGGAGGGAGCTACTAACTTTGGATGCCTTAGACAGATTCATGGAGGATTTTCCTATCAATGACAAAAAGGCAGCTCCTTTGCCCATTTTGCAAACTGGCACTCATGGTAATAAATGAATTAATATTCTGTACTGCACACAACAAACCATACTTGCCCCTCTCTGGGAATGTGAGGCAAGATCAGTAACTACCAATTCCCTCTAAGCTGTGGAGTCCTCTGAGCAAGGCAAGATCAGTAACTACCAATGTCCCTCTAAGCTATGGAGTCCTGTGAGCAAAAATTCTACTTTCTGAGCTCCTGGCATTAAAGTTGTGAGCAGGTGATTTGGCTGCTGCATACATTAGTTTGCTCTGGAGCCCTCCTTCCTGAGCTAAGGCTAAAATGTGTGAGCCAGAGGCTAAAAAACTGTGAGCTAGCTCACGCTAACTCAGCTTAGAGGGAACAGTAGTAGCCACACTCTGGGGAAGGGAGGAGATGTGTTAAAACATTTATTAACCACCTTTCTTCCTTGCAAAACTCAAAGTGACTTACCATATAAATAAAACGATTATAAAAATACAATAAAACAACATAAATAAAACAATTATAAAAACTTATTTACAATTATTTAAGAATTTCAAAACCTGCAACACTTCCTATTAATGCCCATATTGCTAAGCTATGCAAAACCTCCATGTTCAGAGGGAGTCTGCCTTAAATGTGGGAGAGCTAACAATAGCAGACAGTCCACGGCTCCATGGTAGCCCCTTTGCTTTGCAACCAAGAGGTCCCAGGTTTAATCCCCAGTATCCCCAGTTTAGGGTTGCCGGTGTTATGTACGTGGACCGCCACCAGGGGTCCGTGAAACAGGCCAGAGCTTGGATCCTAGAACAATGGAAACTTCGGATCCTGGATCCCCCAGCCCCAACCAATAGCCACCTTGGCGGGACATTCAAACCCTCCAATGGGAATGGGGGGTTGCTGGGTGGATATGTATATAGTTGGCCCCGTTGGCCGTTTCTAGTTAGTCTTTGTATGTGTGAAGTACAATAAAGTGTGCTACAGTATGTTGTCCTTGGAGCCAGCTTCAGGCTGGGAAACTCCTGGTGATTTGGGGATGGAGCCTGGCGAGAACAGTGGGGTACAGTGCCACAGAGTCTACCCTCCAAAGCAGCCATTTTCTCCAGGGGAACTGATCTCTGTAGTCTGGAGATCAGCTGTAATTCTGGGGGATCTCCAGGTCCCACCTGGAGACTGGCATCCCTACACCAGTTGCAAAAATCAAGCAGCAGGTGACTGAACGACCTTGAATGTGGAGAGCTATTGCCAGCCAGAGCAGGCAGTGCTCACCTTGAAAGACCAAAGGTCGAACTCACTACAGCGCAGCTTCATGTGCCCCCTTAACAACCTCCCAAAGGCCTCTCTGGCAGAGCTGGGCTAGATAACCTCTCTGGCCTGATCCTGCGAGCCTCCACTTATGTAGATTTCTTGTAGCATCCCCTTGCCCTGTTCCTGATCTGCATGGACTGACGTTGGTGGAGAGGAATTACACAGACCGCGGCTTCTCTACTGCTCCCGCTCCCCCACCACCCAATTCATGGCTGCTCCCATTAGCCCCCACGTTGCTTTTCTCTCGCCACCCCCACAACGTTTCTTTGCATACAGTAAAACACACACACACACACCCCGGTGCTTTCACTTACCCACTCCTACCAGTCTCTGCATTGCAACTCCCCCCGAGAATCCGCACTGGTTTGCCCAATTCCCCCTTCAAGGAGAGGCTAGTTGCAAAAGTAAGGGGAGAGGGAGTGGGCTGGGAAGGAAGCTCCCGTTTCGGAGCCTCTCTAGAAACAGAGCTCGGTGCATTTAACCCCTTCCGAGCTCTCCTGGGAAAGTAGCGGGGAGAGGGGTAATGACCGGCTCTTTGTGCTTAATCGCCACAGACTCTGTGCCTTTTTCTGGGTCGGGAGCAGTGCCCCCTCTAAGCCGTGGAGTCTCATGAGCAAAAATTCTACTTTGTGAGCTACTGGCATTAACATTGTGAGTGAGAAATTTATCTACTGCATAAATTATTTTGCACTGGAGCCCTCCTTCCTGAGCGAAGGCAAAAATGTGTGACCCCATGGCTAAAAAACTGTGAACTAGCTCACACTAACTCAGCTTAGAGGGAACACTGATCGGGAGAAGACAACGTTCATCATAATCACCATCGCCCTTCGCTTCATCCCTTTGATGGGAAAAGCTGCCCCAGCTGGATTTCTGCCTGCCACGACGTAGAGTTTTGCAAAGAAACATACGCACACGCCCTCCAAACTCTTCAGATACCCTCGCAGCTGTTCTGGCCCCTAGGGAATCTTTTATTCAAGTCTCTTTCACTCCGCCCACCTCCTCTTGCTTTATGAGACTACTGCTTGCCAGCCTCCACCTGGGGCCTGACCTCCCGCTTTTAAAGTTGATTTCCAGACTACGAAGATCACTTTCCCTGAAAAAAATGGCTGGTTTAGACTCGATGGCACCGTATCCTGCTGAGGTCCTTCTCTTCCCCAAATCCCGTCCTCTCCAGGCGCCAAAATCTCCAGGTATTTTGTAACCTGGAGTTAGGGTTCCCAGCCTCCAGGTGAGGCCTGGAGATATCCCGCTTTTACAACTGATCTCCAGCTGACAGAGAGCAGCTCTCCTGGAGAAAGTGGCTGCTTGGACTCCAAACCCCGCCCTCTCCTGGATCCACCCCCAAAGTCTCCAGGTATTTTCCAACCCCAGGACTGGCAACCCTAGGCCCGGCCATCCTCACAGAGTTATTGTAAGGATATTGACTAGATCAGACTACTGTCCCACATATGGTTGCCAACCTCCAGGTGGACTCTGGAGATCTCCCTGAGTTCCAGTGGGAAGCCATGTTGGTCTGAAGCAACAGAACAAAGTTGGAGTCCAGTGGGGCACCTTTAAGACCAACCAAGTTTAATTCTGGGTATACAAAAGCTTATACCCAGAATTAAACTTGGTTGATCTTACAGGCAGTGTTTTTGCTTTAGCTCAGGAGGGAGGGCTCCAGAGCAAATTGATTTATGCAGCAGCCAAATCGCTCGCTCACAACTTTAATGCCGGCAGCTCACAGAGTAGAATTTTTGCTCACAAGTTTAGAGGGGGCATTGCTTACAGGTGTGACTGAACTCAGACTTTGTTCAGCTGATTTCCAGGTAGAGATCAGTTCCCCTGGAGCAAATGGCAGCCTTGGAGGGTGGACTGTATGGCATTGTACCCCACTGAACACCCTCACCGGGCCAAAGTCTCCCCCTCCCTGTCCCTACAGTACTCCAGGTGGAATAGCAGAATAGAGCGGAACTACCACCTCCTTTGATCTGGACACAATGCTTCTGTTTATGCATCCTAAAATTGCATTAGTTTCCTTCACAGCCACATCGCACTGCAGGCTCATGTTTAGCTTGTGATCAACCAGAACACTTAGATCCCTTTCACATGTGCTGCTGTCAAGCCAAGTCCCTCCCATTCTATATCTATGCCTTTGATTTTTTTGTACCTAAGGGTAGGACTTTGCATTTATCTCTATTGAAATTCATTTTATTTGTCTCAGCCCACTGTTCCAGCCTATCTAGATCATTTTGAATCCTGACTCTGTCTTCTTCAGAATTAGCAATCCCACCTAACTTTGTGTCATCTGCAGATTTGATAAGCATCCCCTCTATGTCTTCCTTCAGGTCATTTATAAAAACATTGAACAACACCGGGCCTAGGACCAAGCCCTGCGGCACTCCACTCAAGACTTCCCTCCAAGTAGACGCAGAGCCATTTACAAGCACTCATTGGGTACGATTTTTCAACCAACCATGAATCCATCCAACAGTTGCACCATCCACCCACCTGTCCCTACCCCCAAATCTCCAGGGATTCCCCAACCCAGAGCTGGCAACCCAATTCCCACATGAGGCACAAATAACTCAGAATACATTGTCACTAGACAAAGCTGTACCTACTAGATTCCAAAACTAATTTTGGCCACTTCCGCACGGTCATTTTTGTCACTCGTTTGCTGTGGTGGCTCAAGTGGTTAAGACGCTGAACTGCAGGCTGTGGAAGGTCGGTAGTTCAGCAGTTCGAGACCCGAGGGTGCCGCATGATGGAGTGAGCTCCTATCTCTAGTTCCAGCTCCTGCCAACCTAGCAGTTCGAAAGCAGGAAACTGCAAGTAGATAAATAGGTACCACTTTGGTGGGAAGGTAACAGTGTTCGGTGCGCCTTGGTGTTTAGTCATGCTGGCCACATGACCACGGAAACGTCTTCGGACAGCGCTGGCTCTTCGGCTTTGAAACAGAGATGAGCACCGCAACCCTAGAGTTGGACTCGACTGGCTTTCGAGCAAGGGAACCTTGTCCCTATGGCTTCAGGGTCCCCCACCCCAATGTGTCTTCCTATCTCTAGTAGTCCCAGAGGAAGCAAAACACATGTGGAAAGGGGGGGGGCAAAGTAATAGGGACATTAGAGTGACAAAAATGACAGCACGGAAGTGGCAAATGTCTATGAAGGAACAATAAGCACAGTGGATAACCAGAACATGCATCTTCAGAGGAAGTGTATTGTTTACTAGAGGTGTGTCTACTCACTCCATTTGCAATATTTGATAGTAGTTTGAATACAGAATGAACAGCTCTGCCTAGGGTTGCCATCCTCCAGGTCAGACCAGGAGACCTCCCAGAATTACATCTGATCTCCGGATGACACAGATCGGTTCCCCTGGAAGAAACAGCTCCTTTGGAGGGTGGAATTTACCTCTTTATAGCCCACTGAGGTCCGTCCCCTCCCCAAGTCTTACTCTCCCTATAGGCCCCACATACAAGTCTCTAGGATTTTCCAACCCAGATGTAAAGACCCAGGCTCTGTTCCTGACAAAAGAGTTGCAGCAGTAAAGGATGAACAAACAGCCTTTGAGGTCATCATTTCTTGGCAAACTGTAGGCAAAACTAGTTTTATAACACATGTAATATCCCAGCTTTCTCCCCACCTGGGATCTATGAAGGCCACCACCACTGTTCCCTCTAAGCTGAGTTAGTGTGAGCTAGCTCACACTAACTCAGCTTAGAGGGAACATTGGCCACCACTAGTGCATTAGATCTTTGCCTGTGCTGGATACCTAAAGCATCTATAAATCACGTCAATCAGTCCCTAATGGCCATGATAAATTAATCACAGACCCATGGTCTCCTTCCTTGTCCCCTAAAACACGCGGTCATCTGTCCATTGTTTTAAAAACCGATCACTAGAGAAGAATGATATGGCCAGTTATTATCACCCCAGATTGAATTTGCCCTTTCTGGGCAAAATGATAGAAAAAGTGGTTGTAGAGCAACTTCAGGCCTTCCTGGATAAATCATTCACTCTAGAACAAAGTTTGTGTCCAGTGGTACCTTTAAGACCAACAAAGTTTGATACTGGGCATAAGCTTTCATGTGCATGCGCACTTCTTCACAGGAAAGCTCATACCTTGACTAAATCGTACACATGTGATGCGTGATGATTACTTATTACTATGCTTCTCTGGTGAGGACACCAGTTCTGGGGAACAAGTAGCAGCAGCTATACTGTAAACATAACCGGATCTCTGGCACATGTGACAATACTAGAGCAATCCAGAGTCAAGTGGGTGATGCTACCCTCTTCCCGTATGTTCCCTCAAGAGCACTGCGATCGAGGAATCTCCATCTCCTGGAGGTTCCGGGTCCCCACGACATCAAGTTGGCCCAAACCAAGGCCAGGGCATTTTCAGTGGTGGCTCCTGCCTGGTGGAACGAGCTCCCGGCGGAGATCCGGGCCCTGCGGGACCTTTTACAGTTCCGCAGGGGCTGCAAGACAGAGCTCCTCCACCAGGCTTTCGAGTAGGAGCCGCCGCCGCCACTATTCCACCATCGTGATACGATCTTATCATCTGCCCTTTTACTGGGAGGGGGGTAGATGTCACCCGGCAGAGTTGAGAACATCACCCCTGGCGCTCACGCTATTAATAATGCCGGCCGCCAATATGGGTTACCGCACATCTTGGGGGAGTTTTAGAGAATTGTAGAGCACCATTTTATTCTGTATGAAATAATGTTTTATTGTATTTTATATTTTAATCCGGCATGGCCGCCTGTTAGCCGCCCTGAGCCGCTTGGGTAGGGCGGGATATAAATCCCAAAAATAAATAAATAAATAAATACAAATAATTTGTCCTGTTATCAGCTCTGTCTTGTCATGTTAGACTTGTTTACATTTTGGATTACCCCCCCTTTTTACAACTATGTACTTCTAGGGGGGGGGGACCTATCTGAGTTAATGTTCATACCAAGCAGAAAGCAATTACTGTTATGGCAAGTGAGATTCCTCTCCAACATTACTTGACTTTCACACACGTGTTTTAAGATACACTGTTCATTTGGAAAGACATCTCTGTTATAATGTGCTGTGGTCAAAAAAAGAACTGGCAATTGCCAAGATTATACTGCTGCACCAGAAGACCTGTGGAGCATCAGCTTGATGCCAACGCCCCAAGGACACTAAGGTTCTTTGACTTGTGTGGCTAGCTAATAAACCACACAGTTAAAACACTCATCCAGGTAGTAAAGAGTAACAAAAGAATTTATTCGAATAAAGGAACACCTAACAGCTCGTAGATGTTTAATGTGTTACAGCCGGGAGCTTGCTTATATGCTCTTTTTGCTCCTCCTCTCACTGACATTAATTTAGACATGCTCAGTTCAGATTTCTTTGTCTGATCAGTCATCAATCACATAT